TTCTTTTCAGCTATAGATTTTCACATTATCAGACAAGCCTCTGCGTTCCTAAAAAGGTTTTGATATCAGATTTGACTGTGCAATTGAAAAAGAAGGGATAATGAAGGGCCCCAGGGCTCTGCAAAGCCGCGCAGCGCTTCTGCGGCTCCTGCAGCGGGGAGGGAACGACGCGGCAGACCCGCCACAGGAATGCCCACCGCCTTCCCTCCCACCCGGACAGCTGTTCCGCTCAAAGTTCCAGCGAAGTCACTGAGGCAGGCAACGCCGTGCTCCCCGCGCAGGAGCGGAGCGAGCTTGGGCCAGCATCTTCCAGGTCTGCCGCCTGCTTGGGCAGGGTTCTGGGTGAACTCTGCTTCACACAGAGCTAGCCTCCACCCCACACGGGGAGGGAAGCGCGCATCTAGGGTGAGCAATTCTGGACCACCAGTCGACCAACTTAACCAAGCTACGGAACTTTCTTGTAAAATCTGACAAAGCATGCCACATAGGCACACGCTGCGAAGCACGTTAATAAAACGGGCGCTGGTGATCCACTCTTCAACTTAGGAAGCAGAACTCCGGATTCAGTGGAAGCCCCCGGTGTGGTCCACGCCTGCCTGCCAGGTGTGACCAACCAATCTAAATCTTTGCAGTTGTCACCCTTTCCCGTTCCTATTCATAAACGGTCTCCCTGAGCAGTGGCTGACTTCACTGTGCTTGCTTTCACTTGATTCTAGGGTAGAGCATACTTGGGTGTCCACCTCCCTCTCAGGTTATTCTGCCACACTTTCCTTTGAAGGCTTTGCTTCCTCTTCCCGGTTAGACTTTGTTTTCTATTTAAAGTAATGGATGGTGACCAGAGATGATAATTTCAGACAGACTCATGGTTTAAAATGCCGTCGTATACCTCTCTGTGGAACGGAGCTCCTGTATCAAACTGCATAAGTCAGTGTACTCATTTGGATGTCTAATAAGATCTCAAATTTAACCCAAAATTAAGCATTTGATATTCTTCCCTAAAATGTTTATTTTCTTCTTCTTAAACAAATGAAACACCATTATCTTAAACACTGCCATTCCTTTGTTCTATTTTTTTTTCCTCTGCAAGATTAGATAGATACGTTTGAGAGCCTCATAATATGTCCCATGTGTCTTAACCTCTCAGCCATCCATATGGAAATCATCCACACGAAGGAAAAAAAGCACGGTTTTGTTTCAAGTTTTGTTTCACTTTACTCAGATCTACCTTTCAGTTTATGAATTCTCTCTATAGCTGAATCCTTTCTTCTAATGGCTTTCCATTTTAACATTCAATTATGTTTTCACTTCTAGAAATTTTATTTTTAAAATATTTTTGTTCATCTTTTGGTAGTTTTTTCTTATACATGTTATAAATAATTTTTAATATACGTGAATATATCAAACATCTATTCTGAATTATGTAGCTTAACCTTTACTATTGAAGCCTTTGAGGATATGGGTCTAGCCTTTCTTCTTTTTCCCCTATGGACTTGCAATAATGCTGGCTTTCTCCTGCTGTTCTCTGTGATTCAGAGTGCGAGTTCTTGTTTGCTGGCATGCTATCTGTCGGTTGGGATGATTTCTGTCTGCTTTTGTTGGGCAGTGAGAACTCCTGTAATGAATCCTTTTAAAAACACAGTTATAAGCTACACAAATGATGCAAATACTGTAGATTCAGATAAGCCCATGTGAATGGTAGCCAGTGACACCAATTTTCAGGAGAACCTTTTAAAAAACAACTTATAAATTGCCAAGGCTGCAAATGGTTAATTTTTTTCCTGTCTGCCTCTTCACCATCTGATTTTCCTTGTTTTATTTTAGTTCACTCTTTGTAAGAGGGTATTGCCTTTCCTATCCGTGCTCCCGCTAATTATTACATCCACCGTGCTCCACTGCTATGGCTAAGAATTTTAAGACTATCTTCTTGCTAGGCTATGAGCAATTTCAGAATGGAAAGGAGTTTTATTTATTTTTAAATGCCCAGTGCCTGACACATATTGTTAACTCAATAAATTTATATTTTGAAAAAAAATTGCCAAGTAAATGAATGAGTGTTTAGAAAATGGTATTTTAAACAAACCTATTATTTAAATCCTTGAGGTTTTCAATCTTATCTCAGGACTCACTGGCCAAATGAGAACCTCCTAAATTCAGCCTTGTTTATTGTTCTGAGTTAGCTGAACCTCCATAAAGTCTGTAGTAAGACACACAAGGACAGAGACTGCTTCACGCCTCACGCCTCACACCCAACCAGCATCAGGGAGGCCACTCATTGTCACTCAAAGAAAACAGAAGACACTGTGTTTTCTTTCTCTTTTATTGCAACCCATTGCAAGGTCAAAAGATTCACAGAAATATAGAAACTACAAACTGGATGGATTTCCTTTATCCACTCAAAAAGACATTAAAGACAAAAGACCAGAATTTTCCACTACAGCAATATATTTTATATAGTCTTTATTCTGAAAATACTGTTGACATTTTGGAGAGGATAAAAAGCCCTGCGTTAAACATGTTCACATATATTTATGACATTCTAAGCAGAAAAAGAAACTTTAGATTGCCCAGGAAAAAATCATTTTAAGCCTTATTTCAAAGCATCTAATGAGAACACATTTAACAACCACCACAGGATCATTCAAGGTGATGTTTTCTTGTTGTTTTTGAGATCAGCGCTTTGAGGCTGGATATGGTATTTCTACAGATTCCTACAAATACACCAAAGCAGTTTTCCAGGTTATGATGCATCAGGCTTTCTGGATTAGTCGACATCTTAAAGAATAAGTGCAATTCCCCCACCCCACCCCCCACCCCCCAGGCTAAAGCATGTTATAGTGCTGAACTTCAGATTCAAACAACACAACATGAGAACAAAAATCAATTATACACTTTTGAAACATTTGACAACCATCCCAAGATTATTACAACTTTGAACTGAAATGGCACCATCTATATCACTGATGGCTTTCCCCTCTTCTGTCTTTTTAACTATTTAAAATATAGTGTGACATATATAAAAATTAAACTTTTGCTTATTCCCTCAAGCTATTACTATACATGTCATCTTATAAATTAGTTTTGGATTAAAAACCAGTTAAAATATTGTGAATTAAGATATTTTTCAGTGGTGGGGAAATGAATATGAAGACAGTACAGTTGGATGTGTAAGAAGAATTACAATTACAATTTATTAATAGCAAACAGCTTTTTTTCTTACATAAATTTTATTCCTTTCAAATTAAATTAGTAACCCATTTAGTGATGGAAAAAATACTTTTGGTGCTTAGCGATTAGATTTTCAAAACTGACTGGAATTAAAAGCAAAAACACGCCACATCAGAAACAGGTTGACATGATCAAACAAAACAGTTGTTTACACAAAAGGAGTTATTATAAATAAGTGAATGGTGTTTGAATGATACTCACTTCTTACAGTGAGTATCATTTTAGGAACACTGGGACTTCTATAAAGTGAAATTCAAATCTGAGTATATCTGTTAAAGACCAAAAAAACAGTTATGTCCACATTGAGAAAGAATAAATAGCAAACTCACAAGTCAGGGTTTTGTATATCTAACTCTACTGTGAAAGATAATCACGCTTTAGCTTAAAAAGGCTCCCTGCTGTCTTGATTATAAATCAAGACATAGGAAAGGTTATTATGAGCCTGAGTCCCTACTATGAATTAATTGTATAGATGTGTGAGATCAAAACGTATATTCATTTACTAATAGGTATTGCCTAAACTGAAAGCTGGAGATCTTTAATTAAACAAAGAAATGCTTATTTCTGACAAGTGTAAACAGAATCTTAATGAAAAGATTTTCTAATTTTTCTTCTAAACTCATACATTAACCAGCAATAGATCTTTGCAATAGCATAAGAACTATTCAAAATATAACATGCACATCTCCAAAAAACCTGTTCTAAAGCCCAAAGCAAAGCAAAAAGAAAAAAAAAATCAGTAGAAAGATTGTCTACTTATATCTCATTCATTAATCTTCTATTAATGTGACTAGCCCCGAATCTCAGAAATATACTTTCATAATTACCAAATTAACAAAAATAATTAAATGATCTGTAGAGTTTTTTCTTAAATAACTGCATACTATTAATTACATTGGTGACTTTAATGTGGATAATGTTAAGATTAGCTCCAAATATCATTAAAATATATCCAGACCAGTTACTATCCATGAAATAAAAGCTAACACAATGTTAACGTAAAACTCAAAATACTTAGTGCTCCAGAGAATTTGGCCGAATAGTGAATAATTAACTTCTGTGAGCTGACTGGGGGGTTCGGATCGTTGACTCCACGGGGAAACTTCACAGAAGGCTCCGCTCTCCACTCACTAAGCTGCCCGCTTGACTGCAGGTGGGGAGCCCCCGGGGACGGCGTGTTAGGAGTGGCAGGGGAGGGCGTGGCCTGGAGAAAGGCCCCTGCGTCAGAAAATGGCCTAGAGAGAAAGTGCGTGCCGTGTGTGTGCATGTGTGTGTGTGTGTGTACGTGCACACGCCTGTGAGACAGGATGAGAACCGATACCTGTGGATGTGCTTGAAATCCTGAAAAGCACTAGTTCTCAGGCTTCTAACCAGTGCCACGTCTCTCCTTTCTGGCCACCAGCCGCAAAACTGCACAATTCTTTCCCATCAAGAAAGAAGGCAGCTGCCTTCATTTGGGGGCATCTCCAGTGGCAGTAATTAGAAGCTCAAAATAAGCTCAAAATAATGGATCCATTTTCTTTTTTTTTTTTAATTCCACAGTTTAAAAAAAAATTAGAGAAATAAGCCTTTGAACTTAAAAACTAAAGGTCTGTGCCTGTCAAAATTTTTCATTTTTAAGAAAAAAAAAGACCAGCTCACCCGGGAACAAATAGCAACTGTGCTGATGCTATGCAATATGCAAACGAGACGCGGATACACACAGGCGGGGGTACGCACGGGGACACAGCAAAGTCACGATCTCGGCCGGGGACGGCCCGCCGCAGCTCCACACCCTAGGAGGAGGCGGCTGACACGCCGGGCGTCCAGCCCATCTGGTAGGCCCTCTCCAGCGTCCTCTTGCAGTCCTGCAGGACAGTGCTGAAGGTGATGTGAGGATACTGCTGCACCAGCTGCTCCACCGTCACCTCGTTGACCTGCAAGTGAACAAGAGCCACCGTCACACACGGGCTCCGGAGACACGCCCCTCCTCCTCCTCAGCAGTGCCGGCAAGTGTTTGCTGGGAAGACCTGCCCTAAGTACTACATTCTACATCGTACTCAGTACTATGCATTACTAAGTTCTACTTAGTACTAAGCAGTACTAAGTTCTACATAGTACTAAGTACTACATAGTACTAAGTACTAAGTTCTACATAGTGCTAAGTTCTATGTAGTACTAAGTAAGTAATACTAAGTTCTACATAGTACTAAGTTATCCCTATGGGTTTTTTTTTTTTTAAAGATGTAAGGTTATTGGCCACTCCAGTGTTCTTGCCTGGAGAATCCCAGGGATGGGGGAGCCTGGTGGGCTGCCGTCTATGGGGTCGCACAGAGTCGGACACGACTGAAGCGACTTAGCAGCAGCAGCAGCAGCAGCAGCAAGGTATCAGCAAGTTAGTGCTTTCTAGGAGCATAAATGAGTGTGGCCTGTCTAGATCTGAACCGTGTCTGTTGAAGGGTGAGTGCCTGGGAGGAGAGGCAGCATGAGACAGCACTCTCACATGCCTCTGACTCTGCCGTCCACCTGATAGCTTTTTCAGGAGAGAACTGGAGACTGCTGGAGAGGATACACAGGACTCTGGATAGCAGTGCTGGGCAAAATGTTTGTTTTTCTTCCCCTTAAACATTAAGGTACTGGCAAACTTCAGGTCCCTTTGTGGAAAAGGGCTGAAAACGTGAGGAATCAATCACTAAAACATACATGGCTGGCAGGTCAGAGATGGCCCCAATAGACCTTAACCATCAAAGACACCACCTTGATTCCTGATTAGACAAGGCAATCAGACAGGCCTAATTAAAACTAACACCTTTTCAATTGCTGTGCTGTGAAGGGATTAATTTGTCAATTATTTTTAAGCTGATTGCAGTTCATATCACAAAAGTAGACAGCTTCCTTCATCCTTCAGATAAATAAATTATTAACCCAAGAACTGCAACTTTTAGGTTGCTTTATTTAAAATCTTTATTGAACACTTTGGCATTTTCAAATATAATAATGCTTCATTTATATTGAATAAGCTGGTCTGCAAGAAGGTTCTTCTGAGACACATTTTTGTGCTTCCTCTCCACGTCTGTCCACTACTGAAAAAGATCAGGACCATCAGGAAAAACCTCAGATAATATCAGACCCTGGCAGTTTGCTTTGAAAGCCAGCTCTGGAGTTTCTGACTGTGACATTAAGTCCTCTGCACTCTTCTGAAACAACATGGTGTTTTGTTAAACTACATTACATGTAGTCTTTGTTAAATTCAGAGTTGGTATTTCCACATTGCACTGATGATACTTATATTTTGTCAGAATTTCTATTCAAGACTTTCTTGTATTGAAATCAATTATCATTCCAAATTCAACCAAGCTATGCAGTTCAATCTTTTTGTGTTACAATGTATGACTTTTGTTTATAAAAACAGGAAGAAAATAATTTTGAATAAAAAGAAAAACATACACAAATCAGAGTTGAGAATATCCATTTCTGACCTTTAAAGGATTTCTAAGCACTACAACTTTTTTTTTTTAATTTAAATTCTACCTAAGTCTAGCTTGAGTTGAGGCTGCTTGAAACAGTGACTTACAGTCAGGCATCACCTAGCTATGCCTGTCTCTCTGGTACATTTTTTATATCATCCGATCACCTGACCTAATGTCAAGTTATGAGGCTGTCCAAGTGCTTTCTGGCCTCAGGACCTTTGCACCTGCTGTTCTCTTTATCTGGAGCACTTCTAAACCCCCCACCCCTTAAGAGTCCCCTCCATGGCTACCCCTCCTCAGTCATAGTTCCGCGTCATCTCCCGGGGGCTTCAATCCTTGCCCGCACCCCGCTTCCCTCCTCAAATCAGCTAAGGCTTCTGGGTTATTCTCTCTTCCAGCACTGCCTACTTTTTTTTCATGGCACCTTCAAAAGTTCATTTATAATTGCTTTGTTTAATGTCTACTCCTGTTCCAATGTAAGATCCACAAGAACCATGATCCATGATCATGTTGTTATTTGTGAGCCAGACTTACTTCTTAGTGAATGGAGGAGAAAACAATAACAAACTCCAAACGAAAAACAGAAACACAAGAGCAAAGCGACGCCAGACACTAACACACTACCGACCAAGCCCAGCAATTTCCCCGAGAACTCGTCCTCAGCTCAGGGACACCCTCCTTCAGGAAGCCTCCCCTGACCGAGCCGACCCTCCTCTGTGAACCGCGGCAGGCGCCTGCAGGCCTCTCTCTTAAGCACCCTCACACTGCACTGCAATCACCTCTTTGCTTGACTCTCTTCTACCTGAGCCAAAGTCTGGGGACCAGAGACCGCCTTTTATCTTTAATAAGACTACAGAGTTGTGTACAACGCAGAGAAGAGACGTGGCGACTATGGTTGACCTCAGAGTCAGTCAGGCACAGGTCTGAATCCTGGTTTCACTTCAAGATTTGGTTTCCCAACTGTAAAAACAGGATAGAAGTACCGATGTCATAGGATGTTACAAGGATAAAATAATATGCCTAACACTGTGACTGACATAAAAAAGCCCTAAATGGTGGTTCCTATTAGTAGAGCTGATGCTCAATAAATGATCATTTACTGAGTTGATTAATGCTGTGGTAGGGTGACCAATTCTCTACAGTGATGTTCAATATTGTTCAGCTTCTGAGATATTTCAGACATAAACCTTGATAACATTAGCTATCACCACAGGGTAAGAAGCAACCTTGATAGTCGACTTCATGTATAAGGAGAATCTATTCTATCTTAACGCTCTCTGGAGAAGCGTCTGACGCTGTTCTTGGTGACACAGCCCAGGCTTTCCACAGCCACTTTCAGGAGCCCCTCCCTTTCTTTACCCGATGTTGCCCAGGCTGTGGGTGAGGCTACTTTCTTCCCTGCTCCCACAAATAAACCGAGAAGGAGGCAGGTCTCACTAAGGAAGAGCTGAAGTCACCTGGCCAAAGGATTTTCAGAAAATCTGCCTCAAATGGCAAAGAGAGTAAATGCGGCCCCAATCACCTAGCATTCAAGAAACAACCAACTGGAAATATATGGAAAACGGAGGAAGAAGAGAAAACCTCTAAACCCACCATAAAGGCGGGGCTTGTCTTCTACAATATGTCCTTCCTAATCTACACATAGGCCTGCACAAAGTTTTACACCAAGGGCTGACAGGCATTTTGTTTTGGAGGTCCAATTTTTACAAAGATAAAATATCACTACGTGATAGCTGCTTTGCACGAAGAGAGGTAACATTCACCTTAAGCAAACTTGACACATGAAGATACAGATTTATGAAGCACATGGATCAACTTCAGTTAGGGGTTAACTGTGCACTCTAGCAAAGACTCATGATAGGGCTAATTTAGTCAGTCAGCTCTCTTAATGTGTTTTTATATCCCTTGCTTTACTGAAATTCAGTCTACCTTTTTCTGTTGCATAAAGAAGGCCCACTTATAGCTGAGATTATACAGAGTGCTAGATTTCTGGCTTTCACAGGTTGTGGGTGAAAAAAAGGACAGTAATTTGGCTTTGTGTAGCTGTATAAAAAATGCTACAGGTAATCCTCTGTGGATATAATGTGTCTTCTAAGAAATCCATTTGCTAACGGTGTTCTGTAAACTCTAGAAAATAAAGCACTAGGGAAAACGCAAATCCTCCATCTCAGAGCTTTGCTGGGTAGAAGGTATTCAGGGGACATACATGTGCTCCCACCAGGGAGTTCTGTCCTTACTTACAGTGTCTCCTGGCGATAAGGTGAGACACGGTTTATACGGAAGCTATTTTCATTTACTCCTCACAAGTATACACTACATTCACCTCTTTGTGTAGACGCCATAAGCAGTCTGGTGCCTTAGAGAAAAAGTTGGGTGTGAGACATCGGGATGGGCCAAATCATTTTAACTCCTTAGGCCTACATGTGCATTTCGGCAGACATGCTGTCATGCACAGCTCCACTTGCTAGAATGAAAAGAACTATTCTCTGTTCCAACGCATAAAATGTATGGAACATGAAAATGGGACATGAAGATGAATTAGAAGCATTTTCCCCGTGATCCTTGGTTGTCTGTGTTTAGTTTTTTTTCCTCTGCTAAAAACTATCAATGGCAATTTCTATATTACACATAAGATTTGAAAAATGCAGTGGATCTTCTAAAGAAATACTCAGCAGTGTCATTTGGAGGAACTATTGTGATTAAAGAGGGGTAAAAAGCATGTACTACAGGTTTTTTTTTTAAATATAAGAAAAATTGGATTTTATAGTTCTCTCCAAAGACTGTATAATTTACATTTTCAAAATTATTATAACTCTTTTAAGGTAGTAGCAGTTTGTCTGGTATTTTAATCTATTTTGAGTTAACATCTATTAGCACTTTTTGAAAATGTGAGGCAAATTGCTGTGCTAATTAAGGTAAATCATACCATAGTTTCATCCTATCACTGCTGCTACTATAGAAGGATGAGGAGAGATTGTTCAGGGTTTCTGAGACTCAGTTTAACCTATTTACCTAAACCGTCACCTGTTTTTTCACCTCCTTATGACACTCTTCCAAGAAAATTCTAGAAAGTGTAAGATTAGGCCTAAATTATCTCCCCAACAATACCTATTGTTCAAAAAATACAATATCTGATGACATCTGCTGAAGAAACCATTCATTTTAAGTTATTCTTATTTCCTCTTTGACTCATGCTATAAAATAGAATGTATTTCTTGTGTCGAGGGGAAATATTTGGCACCGGAGTATATTAAAACTACACTTAAGAATATAATGATTTACTTAAAATCATTTTTTTAATGGAGAAAGTTTCCCTGAAAAAAGTGAACATTAGTTAAAGTACCCCAAGCATTAAATGTATTGTATTTTCCCTGGACCATAAGTTCCTTGACAGCAAGGAGTAGCTTAGTCACCTCCTTGCTCTCGGTCCTACACATACTATCTGGCATATCCTCGTCCCATCAGAA